ACTTAGATTAATGACCGTCTATAGGGCGGTAGGTCCGGCGGTCAAGCGATGGTGCCGAGCGCTCGATGCGTGTTTACCCAGTATATCTACTGTTTGACATTCTTAGTCAAACATCCACTCAACATGCTGATTCCACATTGTTTCTCCATATCGCGTCTTTTAGACCTGATATTTTTGCAGCTTTGTTTGCTTGTTGTCTTTCGTCTTGTTGTCTTTCGTCTTGATGTCTTTCGTCTTGTTGTCTTTCGTCTTGTTGTAAGTTTCCCAAGTTAGACATTCTAACTCCTAGATAGACGAGTGTCATGGTTTGCTCGATTTTTTGTTGCATTATTGCTCATCAGTTTGCATCTTGTCCGTACTTTGCTGGTGGGTCATACATTGTGTCTTTTTGATTGAGAATTTCATGTTTGTGTACGCGGACGATGCTCGATAAACCGACGATACTTGTGAGATGAGCTCGCTTGCTCTGGATGGCCCTGGTTCGTGCTGTGGAGATGCCACGGAGTTGTAAGTTTCGTGGAGTCCAAGGATATGTATTCAAACGATACAGGTTATGAACTGATTTATTTCTGAAAGTCTCCCTATATACGTATAGCTATGCATTGTTTGCGTTCGCAGTCGTTAAGACCTTCGATCGCTCTACGCTATCATCTATTTATTAAGTCATTATGATTAGGCCGCAGTCGTCTGGCTAGTACTGTGCCTTGTTCAATGTTGTTGACTTGAACATCTTGGCGCCCCGGGCCTATGGATCCGAGAGTTGGATCGCTTCTTCTCGTGGTTTTGCCTGGTCAGTGGTCCTCTTGTAGTACCAAATCGCGACGATGAAGCTCGTGATTATAAAAGTGCTTAGAAGCATGGTCCACATGTACCCATTGCCCGTGGTATGATGTAAAATCTTCCGCCATGTTGAACCTTTGTGAAGCCAGCGTGCGCTCGCTCAGAAGATGGCGCCGGGTTCAAAGCTTAGAGCAGAAGGACTGATGTATGGGATTTTACGCTGGTTGTAAGGCAGCGGAGAGTCTTAGAGGTGCTCGGAGAAGTGAGGCGATCTTCACTCGATGCTTGCTCAGTAACTACTAACTTTATTCTTCCAAAATATCTAAGTGCAAAACTATGAGTAAATACTTGACCGAGGGCAGTGACCCTTCGTGATTTGTACAATCTTGAGATAGCTTAATTACCATAGGTTAAGTAATAACACTTAGGTGCCGATCGCTGTTACAATCTTATTTGTCTAATATAGTTCCAGCGATATATAATTGTTAGCCCAAGGGTCAGTGTATGACGTGACGAACCCTTGCACATCTGTGAATGTGTTTACTATCTACATACTACCTACGTATCTATTGTATTTCTAACATTAAGATTGTTAGTGTACATATTATGATATTATTCTTGTTATTGCACCATTGTATAGCCTAATGTATTTATTGTCTACGTCCGCGGCGACGCACTATCGGCACTAAATAACACACAACACAGAATTCCTGAAAAGTTGGAAAACTTCTCCCGCTTTTCTGCCGTGCAAACAACCTTGGACTTCTCTTTGCAGTTCCTTAATTTCTTCATCTAATACCGCATGGGGTATCACTCATTCCTGATGAATGATCTCTGGAAGTTTCTCATTGAAGTTTATATTTCTTGTTTGGAAGGTGATGCCGTATACCGTTATACAGCCATCTTGAGATGGTAGGATTCTGTATTCTTTGCCGTCCACAATACATTGATCTGAAATCCTTACTAATATTATAAATGCGTATGTCCTGAAGTTTATCGTGCTTTCACGCAAAAACTACTTAACAGATCATCATGAAAATTTGTACACATATTCTTAGTGGTCCCCGATAGGTTATCGGCTACTTTTTATATCATAAAAATAATTATTTTTTTAAATAAAATAAAGAAATTGTTAAGTCACTAACATCTCTGCATCTGGCTAATTGACTACTTTAACGCCATCTAGCATTCCATCTAAAATTTAAAACTTTATTGCATGTAGTAATTTTTTCACATAGATAATCCTAGCCAAGCAGTGAAATATACATTCTTTCTATCAATCCGTTTCAACTATCGGAAAGATGCCTACGGCTCTCATTTCTGGTCACCACTGCCATCTCCAAACTTGTATGTCTCACTATCAGATGAGGAGAAAGTGCCTTAGATTTGCAGGGTAACCGTCGGATTTTCTGCTACTCGATTATCTATAAAGGTATCCTTTTTACTTCCCCCTTGGATCAATACGAAGGTAATCGTGGAATCCGTCCAAGCCTGTGTCTCTTGGATTGTACATGTCAAACTCGTACGTATTCTTCAATAATTTGGCTAAGAAATACGCGGCGCATAACTCCAGACGAAGAAGAGTAATCTTGTTTCGAACTGGTGCCACCTTGGATTTGGATTGTAATGTAACGATAATTTCTCCATTTCTTTTAACTTTTGCATAAACAACGGCACCATACGCTTTTTCTGAGGCGTCACTAAATCCATGTAATTATATTGCTTCTTGAAACTCATATGATATCCATCTTGGTATTCTTACTGCCTCGATAGCTGGCAACTGTGCTTTAAATTTGATCTAATCATTAGTATCTTGTATTGTCAAGACTTAATCCCATGCGGTTTTGACATTTTTTACACCCGAAATGATATCGTTCACTTACCATATCGTCTCTCATCAAGTATTCGAGATTGCCAAAAATGGAGCGGTTTTTGTTCCAAATGATACTATTTTTATTTGATAGTATTGAAGTTGTTCTTTTGGATGGAATTGCCATACAATTCTTTGATACTGCTTATCTTCTTTATCCATGCGAATCTTCTACTTCGGCAACGATAGTTGTAACTTTCTCCTTGGACAAGCCTAGTGCTTGTGCAACTTCTTCCGTAATAAATGAGCTTTGTGAGCATTGGTCGATCAACACTCGTGCAATGAATGGCGTACCTCGCATCGTTGTGATGCATACAAGGGCAGTGGGAAGCAGATTTTTCCCTGGTGTCGTTGATGCATATGTTCTATTCCATCTGGGTTGATTCTGGCGACCATATGAAGTTTGGCGATTGGCTTGATTTTGCGTCGCTTGTGGACGAGACGGCCCTTTTTCCTGCTGCTGGGGGTAATTTATATGCAGAAGGGTATGATGAAACCCATTGCAAATTTGGCACTCCGTATGTTTGGAACATGGCGCATTGATAGATTTGATGATTTGGTTTATTGTATTCAAACGATACAGGTTATGATCTGATTTATTTTTGAAAGTGTCTCTCTATATATATATCTATACGCTATCATCTATTTATTGAGTCATTATGATTAGGCCGCGGTCGTCTGGCTAATGCTTGGTCCTGTTCAAAGTTGTTGACTTGAACAATGTTATATTGTTCTGTTGTTGCTTTGAACTCGGTGCATTAGGGGTTGTATTACATCCTCACTGTCAGCAAATAATTATTATTAGTTATTAATAGTTGTATTTAGTTAAACACAACTTATTATCATCATGGTACTTTTGAATCACAGTAAATAAATTAATTTAATTATTTATATCTAATATATGCTTCTGGTGGGTTTCGTTATAATTAAATTCAGTCTTCATCTGAGCTACAATTAATACAAATAATCTTCCCCTTTCCTTTATCTTCCATATTGTCTTTTTCTCCTGTTTCTTTTTTCTTCTTCATTTTTTCCTCATATTCCTTTTGTAAAGCTTCTTCAGGCCTGCGCCTGTCAATACTTTAGATTTTCTTTCGCTATTTTTTTGTTTAATCGATAGCGAACAAGATTTTTAGAGACCGGAGCAACTCGGAGTTGGTTCGTTTGCAGTTGCGATTTGGCCTATAATTTTAATTCAATGATTAATTTTGTGCAATATCTTCGACATCCGGCTCTTGGGGAGGATCTGGAGGAACAGTGACATATGATGGCGTAAAGTCGGAGTCTTGGAAAATATTAGCATTCAAAGGCCATATACAAAAAAAAAAAAAAAACGAAAAACGAGTGATTTGCTGAAAGCCGCGTCTTTGTAACGCACGCAATGTCGATGTTGTTGTTGATGTCAGCTCGAATTCCGGAACGTGTGAACGGATGCCGTTTGCATTCCATGTGACGATGCGTAGAGATTTCCCAGCCGTGGTTATCAGGCGATGAACGGAAACCAATGTAGAAGTGTGGTGAAGAAGATGCCAAAGAATAAACGCCCTACTGCGTTTGTGAAAGGTGGCCGGGCATTAGGCCGTGCATCGCCTGCAGGAGTGCGATTGTGATGTTGGCAGACGACAGGGACGGACGACGCCGCTGCTGCGACGTAGGATGGCGCACCAACGATAGGGACCCGTGCGAGCGTGGCATAAGCTGATGAGGTGGGCGGCGGTAGGGGCACACGTCGCGGTGCGAACAGAGGGGCAGCAGCTGCGGAGACGTGGGGTGCGCCCAATCGCAGTTAACGCACTGGCGGCGATCGCGGCAAGCTTTAAACTCTCAGCTGTTGGAATAATGTACGCCAGCGGAAAAGCCGCAAACGAACGGGCGCACGCAGAAGCGCATCGTGTGGCCGAATCTCTGGCAGCGACCGCATAACATGCCGAGTTTGGGGTGCTTGGGCTCAAATCTGCACTGGAGCCTGCAGATTCGTTTGACTGCGAAAATGCTTTCTTTGGCCTCATCTCCCAAAGTTGCACTGCTTTGATAATCTTTAATATCTTTTGCTATTGGGATACTATTAGGATAGTATTTCCAATGACTTTTCTCTTTAGGCGATATTCATCCAGTTTACTACGCAGCTAGGGGGCTGTCCATTAATCACGTGATCTTTTTTTGGACCCCCCCTATCAGTGGCGGATTATGCTTCAGTGGGGCCCTAGGCGCAAATCAAGTTTGGGGCCCCTAAATCCGAAAATTTTCAAAAACGGTTATTAGCCCAGTTAAATTAATAGTTTTAGCGTACGGGCACCGCAAAGTCTACTTCAACATTCGTTTGTGCCAAAAACTCATTCTATCATTTATTTAATTCATAAATTACACTATATTTAATATTTATTGTTTATTTAATATATATTGTCCTCGGACCACGGATTTGCAAGACTTTCTTCAACACTAACAACTGGATAGGCATCTTGCAGGTCAGTTGTTGGCACTGTGTTTTGTTGAAAATCCACGTCGCTTTCATCGAGCCACTCGGTGTCATCATTTTCACGCACAACGCAGAGAATTTCTCTCGATCTGCCGTTCGATCGTCGCGTGAGAATGCGTGAAGGATGAACATTGTGCATCCCTACACTATTATTAATATTTTTACACTGCTTGTGACATGAATTTACGTGTTCTTTGACTTTCTTCTTTGTACAGAAGTACAAACCACACCACTGACACGTCCTTTCCAAAAGTTGCTGACGATCCTTTTGCAGACTTGGGGAGATTCCAAGAGACAGAAGCAAAAGAAATGTAGCAAACGTCTTGCCATCATGCTCTTCAGGCTTTGGTATACACAGGCCACTAGACGACTGCAAAATTGGGTAAGGAGGTATCATGAAGCGTTCCGGCAAAATGGATCGAAGAGAACTCCGCACATGTCCACAGCAAGCGCGGTCATCACACTTCAACACCTGGTAATAATATTAAGATATCTTAATCATATTGTCGTATGAGATAAAAGAACAAATGATAAAATAATATGTGAGATTTTACTAATGTACCTGAAGCAAATACTGGCTCTCTCGCACATGCTCGCTATACCATTGTGGAGAAGGCAGGTCTGGAACAAAGCTTTCAGCCTTGTCATCGGGCTCGACATACTCTGCTACAACGTCATGGCCGTCGATAACCATTTTCTTCCATACTTCTGAGAGAACTTCTCCAGCCTTCTGAAAGTTCTTTTTTTCAAGATCATGATCTTTTGTTCTTCCTTGTTCATCCAAATGATTTCCATAAGAATCATGCGGAAGTATAAGTCCAGATAATTCCCGGCTTAAAGGCGCCATTCTTCTCTCAACACGGTTGAACGCGCTTCTGCCAGGTGCATTTGTAAAAATGAATATTGCATCTAAATCATGCTTGATGAAGTTGTGTATGGCACAGGAAATAACCTTTGAATATCTCGGGTTTTCGTCGGGTCCTCCATCAGATGAAATCAGAACAACGGGTTTCAGGCGACCTTCTTCATCTCGCATAATTTCCTTGAAATTGTCGAGAGTCGCAAGCTTATTAAAGTCCACAGCATGAGTAGAAGCTGTGGAAGAGGAATGTTTGCCACTTCTAATCGCCACGTATGTTGGCCCTGAGTATGTAATTGCTTCTGCACGGCCCATATCATTTCCTTTTATTATGCACCCAGCATATACACTAGGAATCAATTTGTGCCTTGAAGCAATCACCCAATCATGATCAGGCAATGAGACACGATATTCGACATGCATCAGGAGAGGAGCTTGTTTATTTGCGGCTGTCAAACCTATGGGTACTCGGGCTTTATCATCTTGCGACAGAAAACACACTTGTTTAGGACCGAGAATAGATGCCAGCGTTTCCAGTGATCTTATTGTGGCGACACAAAAATGCTGATCGACATGAGCCTTATGGTAATCTGCCTCAGGGCGACTCAATTTGACAGGCACAGTGACTACATGCCTTTTACCCTCCAAGGTGGTATAATTTCTTGGGAGCAACCGAAGATACGTGCCACTCTTCGAAATTTGGAATCCGTGCTCCTTTAGCTTCTCATGGAGGTCAGTAAGTGTTCGGCAACTGCGAACACTTTCTGAGCGTCGCCGTTCTTCCGCAGATGCACCAAACATAGCCAAATCGACTATAGTTTTTAGCAGTTCCGTTTGTTGCTCTTCCAGGCGTGGGCGACCTGGGGCAGAACGCGCTTTAAGGAGATTGGCTACAATCGGACTCTGATTGCAAGCAAGTTTAATCTTCGATTTCATCGATAATCTATGTGACTGGGAGTGACGCATATGTTGCTCCTTCCTCCGTAATTCTTTTTTGCATTTATCAATTTGTCGGCGCAGTTTCGTCACATCACGCGTCTCACTTTCAATGGCGCCCAGAGAATCCCTACGACGAACAACTAGGTCACATTCCATTTGAAGAAGAGAAATCTGCGTCTTCAACTTATCCTGTGCAGGAGTAGCACGTACAGACTGCGGTATAGAGCTGCTAGTACTTGGTGTATCGAGTAAATTTTCGTTGCTACACTCCAGTTTTACAGGTAGACTTGTCTTCGCTGAAATGTCTTCGCTGGCATTCTGAATAATTAATAATTTAATAGTATGTATAAACAGACACATATTATGTAAGTTAAACTTACCTTTTTAGAATTAGTACAATAATAAAGAATATTGGACGATTTCTTTGTTTGGTTCTTCTGGCGGTAATCTAGTAGAAGATCATTCGCCCACTTGAAAAATTCTTCTTTCGTAGTACAGTTTTGCTTTGCACTAGCCCATATTTCATTAAATTCCTTCTGAGCAATACCAGGTTTTTTTCCTTTTTTATACTCCGCAAAAAGGTCTTTGTACAGATCACCAACTTTAAACATTGTTTTAATGTGTTGTGGGTGATGTGTGTATGTAGTGACGAATGTGTATTGTCTGAGGTGTTTATTAAAGATGTGGAGACTACCAAGTCTGGTGAAGAAGTGTCTTTCCTCATTTCTTGTCTCTCACCAGCAACCCACCAGCAAGAAATTGGAAAAATAAATAGATGTAAACTAATAGCAAGCTAATAAAACTAATATATTAAGAATTTTGGGCCATGGCATGCAATGCAGATGTTGAAATTGGTGAGAAGGAAGTTGCACTACGGGACATAAAAATTAAAATGTGTGTTGGGTAAAGATCCCCACCATACTATGTATGTTTTAACTGTTCCGAGCATGTTTTAACCACAGTGTAAGTTATTATTACGGCCGTTTGATGATTTACACAGCCCAAATATGTTCCTGTTCATGCGGCTGAAGCCTAAGGAATGTGCTCGCCCTTCTATCTCCCCGAGAATGACTCATTCATAAAATTACACTCGGATTTTAAAAAAGTATATAGGTATACGTTAAGTATACGTTAAGTATACCTATATACTACACGCCGCTAGGGCTATTGGTATGGCTTGGAAAACTAGGTATATGTCTTTTTACTGCAATGAGTGTCTCTCCGCCCTTGGTCTCTCTCGGTCCTGGCGAATTATGCGGAAGCCAGGAATGGAAAATCTTTCTTTGCTTTTACAAAAGTCGATTAGTTTATTCTGTAATTGCTCAGACTTTCTTATTTTAATAAAAGTACTGCGCAATTTACAAATAGCAGATGATGGACTAAAATTATATCAAATCATTTCAGTCCACTCGTTTTCATCTAAATCGTCATCATTATTACTCTCTGGTTAGTCTACTTTCAACATTTTCATAATATCTTGAACACCAAAGTTTAAAATATGGACAAAACAACGCAAATTTCGATTTATATGATCGAACAATTGATCATTTTTTGCTATCAAAATATTTAATTCACTCATAAATGCAGTGTATGCCGCTACTTTATTAACGGTTAGTCCTTGAATTTTATTCTATAATCCGCATTCTTTAATGCATACAATAATTTCCGCGATATCTTTTCTTCTATGTCGAGCACAAGAAGGAATAAAATCTAAAGCTACAGATTCTGTGAATAGTTACGCCGTAAAATGACCTGAAGTTCTTCGAATTGTTCAAAATTTCCTTGACTCTCCCTCGTTGCATGTGAAAATGCTCCATCACCATTCACCGAGCGCAATTATGTCGATGTACCCTGATACGGAAGTTTAAAAGGGCTATCTCTCACTACCATCTCTTTTTCCCTTAGAATCACCATACTAGAAGCCATTTTACACCCCACAACAGACAACAAACTTATGTAAACATATGAGTTATAAGTACAAAAAAGTAACTCCTTTGACCAAGATTATTTTTAAAATTTTGCATGCTATATTCGTTCTGTTGGTTGCTCTCTTATTTTTAAAAAGCCTTAAAATCACTGTGATCACGGCGACGCCCAAAAAAAAAATATAAGTAGGTAAATCACGCAGCACTCTTTCAGTAAGTAAGTACCTACATATCTACCTATGAGGTACTACGTACATATATATACTTATACGTATATATAAATATACGTTTTGGTTTTGGGTCATATCTCTTTAATAGTAAATCACAGCGCATTCATATTGCACACCAATAATCTTAGGTTTCATATCTTTGAATTATAATAAATATTTAAAAGATAAACAAACTAGAAAAAATAATAATTTTAAATTGGCACTGGCACTGGTATAATCATTATCAGTATCAACAGTTCGGATTATAATACTTTCTCCATAGTCGATTTTACACACATGGTATATTATCTTGGTATCAGCTTCTTCATGATTTAAGCAAAGAGTTCTTCAATGATACTGGTCATAATTTTGTTGGCTTCATTAATTGTAAAGAATTGACACTTTTTGAAATTAATATGTACAATTTCGATACCAATGGCGACATTTCATCAATAGCCCGATATGAAATGAAAAATCAACTAAAGCTTGTTTAGATTAGAATTTCTCTACTCTTTAGAGAAATCACTAGGACTAACTTGTTCAAAAACAAGTTCAAGTGCACTTTGATTCTGCAGATTCGAATCGTTGAGAATGTTTATAATTTTTTATCGGTGGGGTAAAAATCTAGTCAAAGATAACATCGATTCTGGACGCTTTTAATTCAGTTACCATTTGCATCATATAATTAAGAAGTACTTCCAATTTTTGTAGAAACTTTTTTGATTGTAGGGTAAAAGAGGGTAATGGGGGTCACTTAAGGAAGAACTAAAATAAAATTTCAATTATTAACAAAATATTTATTGCAACCGCCTTTAAACATTATTTACTTAGGTAACTATTATTTGATATAATTTTCAGTAACTTTAACAGTCAATTTTGGATATTATAACAATTAAAAAAAACAGATTTGACTCCCATTACACCGACATGCGAGTAATGGTGGTCACACTGGGGGCAATCGGAGTCATACGAAATCTAGCAGATATTGCAGACATAACCTTCCGCTGAGTCTCACCCAGTGCATTCCGCATGAGCTCATAACCATGAGGTGAACCTGAACTACGTCTCACTGTTTCTTCCAAAATCGTTGCACACTAGACATCTGTTTTCTTCTGCGTCCTCATCGTCCTGGCATAAGTCGTCCGTGTCTAAATCGGATACAGAAGTTTCGTTACTTTCCTGCAGTAACTGGCGCTTTGCTATTTCAGGGCCTTTCTTCTGTATTAACTTCTTTCCCTGACCTTTACCTTTCCATCTCTTTCCTTTTTCTTTACCCCCTGTTTTATTTTCTTTTTTCTATTAAGGTTTCTTTTATTAGTGTGGAAGTTCAAATTGTAGCGTGTTGCTTCTTTCGGCCCTTCCTTGTATTTTCCGCAGGTGTTTTCTCTTGCAACTTGATGAAATCATGCATATGAACACTAATTTTATTTGACGTACCAGATACTGGGGATGTTTCAGACATTCTAAGACTTGATGGGCTGGAAATCACAACTGCAAGAGATTCATTGCTGTCTTGGATTATAATCGTTTCTGTGAATACTTCCGGATTTAGTGGAACTATTCCAGAAGCTCTAAACCCTGATTCTTCTTTACTAATGGACCCAACATTAATAAATGCTTTCCTCCCCAAGGATGCTATATTATAGGGCGTTATCTTTTAAGCAAGATGGCTTTTTAAAAATGAATCACATTCTTTTCTGTAGGCCATTTTGAGGGGCCCAAAGAACGAAACGTCCAAAATTTGCATTCTCTCTGAGACAACATGTGTATATGATTGGACGTACAATATTCGTAGATGGTGAGAGATATATGACTAGCATGGTTGTCTAGTATTAGAAGGATAGGTTTATGTGCAGATGGCTTAGCATGCTGTTTTAAATGCACATACCATTCAAGGAAAATATTCTCATTGATCCAACCGTTGTCAGAGCATTTGTATAACGCTCCGGCTGGACCATACTTCTCTAGCAAAGGAGTTAATCTTTTCCTAAGGAAAATGAACATCGGTGGAATGTATCCACCTGCCGCGCTCACAACAAAATGATGTTCTTTCCTCGCTCCCAACTGGTTATTGATCCCACTTTCTTCTGTTCTTTGGTAGCCACAATTTTTCCAGGAGTTTGAACTGTGGAAATTCCTGTCTCGTCACAATTATAAGTATTCCTTGGGACAAATTTATACTTTTCCATTAGCTGGCCAAGTAGCTCAAAGAACATGCTTATTTCAGTTTTATTAAAAGCTGTGATTCGATTTATGCTGGTCGCCTTTGGTTTCCTAATCGAAAGATTACTCTCCCCTATGTACCAAAAAAAAAAGCCGTCAATTATTAAAATAGAACGATCAAACGAACTTGCCTGTACGTGAAGTTCGATCGTTATTATATAAGAATGTTGCTCGGGATGATTACATTAGCAGCTGTGTTGAGATGAGAAAAAACAAAAAATAAAGATAAAAGCGTACCAAGATCTAGCTTCTTTAGATCTTCTGTATTCTTTTGCTTACTCTTACTTAAGAAACACGGTTATTATATAAATAAGTTATTCTACTTTTTCTTCCTTGTGAGGATAGCTTTCACATACTCCTTATTATCTGTGACAATTGTGCGATTATAAAACCTCGCAAACATTTGTGGGTTTTCTGACCAGCCTGCTGTTCTTTTTATGTTTTCTACGTCTATTCCTCTTGCTTCCGCAGCTGTGACGGATGCATGTCTAATTTTGGTGCTACCATTTTGGTGCTATTCTGAGCAGCACCCGAAGTGCCGTACTGTCGAACGAACGCAGATTGCAATTCTGAGTGCCCAACGGAGGTCTTTTGGAGGGTTCGGGTCGCCTCAATTTTTAACCAACTTCAATTGATCCACGCCCTGCTTGATCTTCAGTCCAACAATAAAAATTAGGATTAACAGACTTCAGGTCAACGATACATAGGTTATAAAAACTAATTTGCCTAGAATAAAATGAATCCTGAATCGGAGTCTTGGGCAGTGGCTGAACTTGTTGAAGATCAAAACAATAACTTAAGCTATTACTATCTTCTTATCTAATAAGTTCATAAAAAGCTTTTGCTCGCAGAGAGTGAATTCTCAGTTGTGTCATAAGATTTTATTTCTTGTAAACCAGTTTCAGTTTTAATTTTATTTTTTAAAAGTGCACGTATTACACGCATCTGATGCTGGAGACGAAAATCCTATATTAAATCTTCTTAAAAACACATCACGAAACATGAATTCCTTTACTTTTAAATTCTCATCTTCAGTTGTATTATTATATAATTTCCATAGCTTTCTAATATTCAGTTCACATGATAAATACATTCTTTTTGATTTGTTTCTAGAATAATGACTTTCTGTTGCTGGTAATAATCGGATGAAATTTGCAATATTTTCCCGTTTTCTAAAATTTGTAGATTTTCTATCTCCACCTCTATTCTCTTTTAGTATTTTACCTTGAAAAATTGCTTTACTAATTGTTGTTA